TGGTTATGTAATCACCCTTATGAAAATGATTGTGACAATGAAGAAATTAATGAAGAGAAATCGGAGAGAAAACTAACAATGCCATTTATTAAACATTTGAGGGGGGGGAATTTTGGAGTTGATCCAATATAACAACATGGATTGAGACAACCAGAGTATGATAGCATCCGCTAATAGTTCCACTTCACAAAATTTTGCAAAGGCACATCACGAGAAACTAGCAATTGAGTTTTTTCGAAGCGCATCATTCATTGTATTTATTGATGAGATCGTTACACTTGCTAATCGGGTCTAAGATTGAGGCATTATCGTACAATCGGTTTCTGACATGGTTACGTTAAATCCTTGCACTCAATAAATTGCATATAAATTTTTGAATTGAAGATACGATTCATTTAGATAGAGGATCGATAATATTATACCCACTCACTCTTAGTGCTTCAAATATTCCAAACAATGTGTTGATCTCAAATATCCAAGAGGGTCATTCTTTCAAGAGATTTTCTGCTACGTTGCTGCTTACATGTATATTACCTGCATACTCAAATACCAGTGAACTTCTTTCGGTACCAAATATATGTGGAGTTTGGATAAACAAGCACATCTTTAACAAGAATTTAAGAGAATGTGTATTTTTAACTTTACCTATGCACGACTATTTATAGAGAAGTAGGTTAAGAGATTGCAACCCTAATTCTCTGTGTTTCGCGTTTGTTGGTTCATATAGGCTTAGTTCGTTACGATATATTTCCTATGACGTGTTTGTTTCCTTATTGAATTGGGTTTCTAACAGAGATTGATTCTCTTGGATTTTCCTTAATCCTCGAGGATCCTACTCCGATTTTTATGAGTTGATAAGGTAGTTTCTTTATAGAATACTAATTTCGAAACATATTCAAATTTCGTTCCAAAAATTATAGACTCGACTACGCACCATTTTGGGTCCAATTCGAAGCCCTTCATCCACCAAACCCATCAAGGCTTCGCCATGGGTATCTGGCAATAAGGGGTCGACAGGCATGCGAGACCCATATTCAATGGTAGTTCTTGTGAAGACCACGAGGTAAAGCCGAAGGACTTAATGGGTCAATTGGGGAACACTCGGAATTGTCGCATGACTTGGTTCTTACATGTCCACCTCGCAGATTTTGGGGTATAACACAATGAAGCAATTTCATTATTTGCTCAGGATTGACCATCTTAGCTGATCTAGTTAAATAGGGTTATGCTAGACGAACAGGGGCGCCTAATTGGTGCCTCCCTATTGGAGGGGACACCTGTTTGGCCAAGTATCTTTTTCCAGTTAAATACACTCTTGCCGAAAGAATAATCAATATAAAAGTCTGTATACTATATTGTATTGTACAAGCTAGGTCATGTCTTATGCATTTCAAATCCACTTGCATCTCTACTCAAGTCATCGCTGTTGGAATAATTCTAATGTGGGTTTCTCATTTGATTGTAAAATTTAAGGGTTAGAAGTATGGCTCGTAATAATATTGCGATTGGACCAAATATATTAAGTGATCAATTGAGTCTTTTACACATTACATGTTATATTTTATATGATGTGGTAATTTAAAATATGTGGGCCAGAAATATATATAAACCCAAATTAGAGTTTAAGTCGTAATAGAACGATTCAATAATTTCCTATATAAAGGTTAGATCCCATTTCCTCTCCATCTTATTTTATTAGTTTGTCTCATTGATGTTAATATTTTGTGAGGAGCAAGGAGGGAAAGATCTAGCTATTATTATTCATATCAACTATGTCATCCATAGGTATGAATTTGAACTATCAATTATTATTTTGTAATTCTTGATTCTTAACGTTATTTCAATTAACTTCTTTGGAAAAAATAATTCATTCGTCCATTTGTGAAGTAAATGACCATATGACCCACTAGAATAAAGTCCAATTATATTTCGAGTCATGATACCCTCATTTAGGTAGCATGATCCAAAACATATCTTCTATGCATGACCCGGTCATATGCACTTTATACAATTATCTCTATGACCAAGGATCATACGATATTAGTAGAAACAACAATAAAGTATCAAAATTATTTTGAAGACAAATATTTATTTATTTATTAACGAAAATTGTCTATATAGATAAATAACCTCGATTTTGGGTACTGTTCCAATATTAAATTTCATCTAACTTTCGGTCGAATTCATCTAACTAGTCTTGAAGCTTGACTTTGATATTTAGAAAGACATGCTACTCTTTAAAGAAATGGTTGAGCGGACTAACATGTCGAATCTCTAATATATATTATACTGAATTATTTGCATTAAAGATTTGTATCCGAATCTCTTCAATTCTCATATTTGATAATGATGTTTATAAGCTTTTTTCAAAACAATAAGGTTATTCATCATTAATAGATATTATCACCAATTTACGTGGTAACTAATGTCTAAATTTATTGTTTAGTGCATTAAAATAAATAGCAACTCCACAAAATAATTAGTGATCTACTATCATCTAGACAGATGATGTTAATTATGAATAACATTACTCTTTCTGAATTTCTCTTAATATAATTTTAGCCATAAATATTTATTTATTACGAAGAGTTTCACTGTACTAAGTCGCTTTGCAAGTCTTATACTAAACCATTTAGCAAGACTCTCTTCATCATATGACATTGAGAAGTGTCCGTCAATTCATCAACACACATTTGTATTGTATGACCAATTTTCTATCCAATTCCTTTAAGACCACTTTATCATTAGCCAACATGCAGACAAAATGTAAAATATATCAAACTTCCAATCATAAAATAGATTGCCATTCAAATTGGCACACTTGTACTAAGATTTAAAGATATCCATATTGGAACTTTTGACCACAACT